TTATTGTTATATAGGGTGGCCCAAAAGTCAGGTCACGTGAAGGTTATTGCTATATAGGGTGGCCCAAAAGTCAGGTCACGTGAAGGTTATTGTTATACAGGGTGGCCCGAAAGTCAGGTCACGTGAGGGTTATTGTTATATAGGGTGGCCCAAAAGTCAGGTCACGTGAAGGTTATTGCTATATAGGGTGGCCCAAAAGTCAGGTCACGTGAGGGTTATTGTTATACAGGGTGGCCCAACAGTCAGGTCACGTGAGGGTTATTGTTATATAGGGTGGCCCAAAAGTCAGGTCACGTGAGGGTTATTGTTATACAGGGTGGCCCAAAAGTCAGGTCACGTGAGGGTTATTGTTATACAGGGTGGCCCAAAAGTCAGGTCACGTGAGGGTTATTGTTATATAGGGTGGCCCAAAAGTCAGGTCACGTGAGGGTTATTGTTATACAGGGTGGCCCAAAAGTCAGGTCACGTGAGGATTATTGTTATACAGGGTGGCCCAAAAGTCAGGTCACGTGAGGGTTATTGTTATATAGGGTGGCCCAAAAGTCAGGTCACGTGAGGGTTATTGTTATACAGGGTGGCCCAAAAGTCAGGTCACGTGAAGGTTATTGCTATATAGGGTGGCCCAGTCAGGTCACGTGAGGGTTATTGTTATACAGGGTGGCCCGAAAGTCAGGACACGTGAGGGTTATTTAATTAAATTTTACATTGGCGTTAAAACGTTTAATTTATTCTGTAAATTTATATTTTATCTATTAGAATTATTGATATCCACATAATTTTCCTTCTTCCTTTTGAGCTATTTAAAAATGTGAAGAAAATTGCCTAAAGGCGAACGAGTTAAACTCGCTTTTATGTACGCTAAAGAAAAGGCAGCTGTAATTAAAAAAAAATCGTAAATTAATTCCAAAAGACCATTCATGCACGCATTTATGTTAATGGCAGTCCGTTTGAACGTTTGTTGAAATAAATATCATAATCCTGTGTGTCCTGACGTTTGGGCCATTCTGTATATTGAGCTGGAAACCAATTTACTTTGCAGAAAGTGGCCCTCGCCTGTGAACCTCGGGGGCGTGATGTTTATTTTGGGTTTGGATCGTGCGAGTGTCTGCTGAAACGTCGAACGTCAACATCTTGCTCGGGCTGTTCCAACACTCCTCCTCCTCCGCATGTTGCTGAAAAACCAAATCGATCGGGATACGTGCCCACGTGACGCGACAACTCGAATTGACTGGCTCAGTCGAGAGGTTGGAGGGCTACAATTAAAAGTGTTGACATTTAACCTACACAGTGAACTAACCCAAAATATAAACTTAATCATCAACAATACATATTGGTTCGGGAATAGCCCGATCCGGGCAGTTTACCAGCATATATTAAAGAGCGCCCGACTCTGCTAATGATTATTAGGGTGCAATTATTATGGTGCAATGCTTTGATGTTGTCTGCCAACCGAGTCGCCATTGAAAACGCGCGTATTAGCTCAATGGGCTTTACTCGGTAAAGACTTATAATTCTGACTGTACGCTACTTTGACGAGACACTGAATAAAGAAAACGATTCACGGTCTTTGCCGGCATGCGTTGAACCAACTGTTGCTCATGGCAAGCTTTGTTGCCACAAGGTCGCGATGATGGGGACGTCTTAAAAGTAAAACTTTTTTTTTAAGTTCATGTTTTGTGTGGAGACACGTATGGGAAAGGACGCGTTAGTTATGATTTGCTCAGCATTCTCCGCGAAGCCGCTGCATTATTATTGTTGCCGTGTTACAAATAACGTGAACCTTGTGCGCATCGGAGGACTTAACATACCCTTATTGCGAGCCATGCGAATTCAAGTGACCTCAAGGATACATCGTTTATTTCTATAGATTTGAAAATATACACGTTCTGGGTTCTCTCTCTCTCGGCACATATACTATAGCAATATACAAGAACGTCGAAATCATTGTGGGCATGCAGCATTCTAGGTTTTTTTATTGAGTGGATAACAGCACTGTATTTAAAATTCTTACGATTCCCCCCCCCACCCCCCCATGTCGTCCCTTGACCCCCGGCCAACTCCGCCTCACGCCCACCTTCTTCAACACTATATTCGGCCAGTGGAGTCTATCACAAACACGATTCATCACCTCACCAGGCCGGGTCGAGAGAGCTAGTAATAGCCATGGAAACACCGTACAAATTTTGCATTAAAGTGACAATTTCCTCTTATTTTGTTTTGCTCCAGAATCCCATCAAACAGTCTCTTTCATAAAAACGACGCCAGCCGTACATAACACTTCATTGCGAAACGCGCGACTTAAGTGCCCTTTAACATTTCCCCCCACTTGTTCGGCAGGCGGGTGTAAATTTATGCGTTTACGATTCGGGGGCAGACGTGTGCAAACGTGACTTGTAGCTTAAAGCAAAGGATGCCTCGCACAATGCTGCACCCGGATCAGACGCACAAAAGCAGGGATTCATCTCCAGTTGAGAATATAAACAGCAGCGGTGCTGGTTGGGGGTAGCGGTGGTGTAGCGGTTAGCGCGCTGCGCTACACACCCGGCGACATGAGCTCGCTTCCCGCTCACGTCCACCACACAACCCCAGCGACGATTATCTATCTGGACCGGTGGCTTGGGCCCCACCCAGATCGGCTCGGTCTCACATTCTTGTGCGATGTGTCGGAAACAGCGCCACTGGGGAGACAAAGGCGGTCGAGCGTGGTGCGAGCCACACACCCACTCGTGTTCCGTTGCGGCCTTCATTGGGTGCTTGGGCACAGCACTAGTCCTAACAGTCTGTTTATGGCTAAGAGGGGATATTTGTCTTTGGGGGGAGGTGGGGGGGAGGTGGGAGGAGGTCGTGGCGTTACGCACCTGGAAACCCGAGTTCGATTCCTGGCCACAGCTAATGTCGTCCGTGGCGAGAGACATCGGAACCGTTCATGACGTGTCTCCCTCTCCACCGCCGCAAGGTATTAATTAACCAGCGCTGACAAAGCGTGGTAAAGTATGGGTAAACGGCCATGCCACTTAAGTGAAGCGAGGAAGCCTTCATCCAGGAAGGGCTGTGAATTCCTATTATCAATATGTATCACGATATAAACAATTGTATGGCCATACTGGAAGAGTAGGCCAAATATACTTTGTCAAGGGGCTCTATATATATCTCTCTCTCTAGAACTCACGGTGGAGGCCCTTCCGGCAGTATTGGCGTGAGCAGGCAATTGCAGGGCTGTGCCTTTCCCTCCACATCAAACAACTGAATCCCGACTCCAGTCTAAACAATGCATTTAAAATGCCCTTCACTCGCTCCAGACAATTGTAACAATCAAATTTTTTTTGTCCCCAAGTGTTACAAACTGAGAATCAACTCCCTTCATCTTCTTTGGTTCTTTCGGTAAAGTCACGTAGAATGAGAATAAAATAATAAAATAACACAATAAAATTCTGACGACGTTTCGGCCACAACACAAGTGGCCTTCTTCAGGTGAAAGGAACAGACCTGTCGGGACGACAGAGCTTCAATGACAGAGCTTCATTGAAACTGTCATTGAAGCTCTGTCATTGAAGCTCTGTCATTGAAGCTCTGTCGTCCCGACAGGTCTGTTCTTTTCACCTGAAGAAGGCCACTTGTGTTGTGGCCGAAACGTCGTGAGAATTTTACCGTGTTATTTTATTTTATTAATTTATTATTTTATTCTCATTCTACGTGACTTTACCGAAAGAACCAAAGAAGATGAATCCTTGCAGTCACGAAAGCTATAAATCGAAACTCCCTTCATATTAAACCAAGAAAGGCAGCCTTTGTTCGTGCCCAAATTTGATAAGATGCTCACAAGTACACAAGCGCGTGCACGTGGTATTGTAGATTTGTTGTTTTTAAACTTCCGCTATCTAATTACAGCTACAATATATTATCGTATAATATAACAATGTACAATGTGTACACAACAACAACAACAACAAAAAAACCGAACCCGCCCCGCGTTCCACCTCGTAACCACATCCCCCAGCCTGAGGACGTGTCCGCGACGCACGTTGCTAACGAGCGGCTCAAACTCCCTGCACATTAACGATCGGTTTCCACACGCGGCGCGACTAAAGAGTCGCATGCAACTCGAATCGCGGTATCCGTATGCGGACGTCTCCGCAACCGGTTGCGGCAACCGGTGGGAGGGCTCGCATAACGAAGAACACAAGTCGACTTGCAAAGCCGGCAATCGGCTTGCTCGGCGAGCCGCGGAGACGCGATTTCAAATCGCGTGCAATGCTCGCAACAACAACAACAAACCAACCCAATAGCTCGCGTGCGATTTTTGGTTGCTGCGTTCACGAATGACGCCACTGCCGCAACTGCTCGCTCGCACACGTGGACGAAGCAGCCGCAGGCGATTCAAGTCGCGCGACCGACCACCACTCGGATGTGGACCCCCCCCCCCCACCCCCCACCAAAGCCCCACCCGGCCTTGCACACCCGACGCGTTCCTTAAGCCGGCTGCCCATTTCAAACAGCCGTTGATGAAAGGCCCCGACGAACCGTTACAGCTCTCTGGCGTACACTCGCTTACTCGCTCGCTCGCTCGCGCAGTCGTAAGCCACTCTTAGCAGCAACCCCCCCCCCCCCTTCCCATCCGTGTAAAATATACAGCATACGTCAAAAAGAGCATGGGGGGGTGGGGGGGGGGGGGATACCTTCACGCGACACTGCGCAGGCGACCCCCACGGCGCGGACGGGGGACACCGCGAATGAACGATCCCATTGGACCGGGTTCCTTCCGTTCGTCGCATCGCTCGGCGCTCGCTTCCGACGTTCGAAAAGTGTGGGGCGGGGAGTTGAATGGATGGATTCGGCCGGGTGACACCGAATGATTGCACGCGCTCACCGACACGCACACATACACACACTACACACACTACACACACAACTAAACAACCCAAGGTGTGCGCGGGCGCGTGACGTTTGGTTTGTCGCTTCAAATAATTCCAGCTCTTTTTGAGTTCGGCAAACTTTTCGAGTTTTTTTTTTGTTTTGTTTTGTTCGACTGCCGTGCGTCGGTCACACCGAGGGCGCATCATCGCCACCCTGGCGTGAATTGCGAGGCGACCGAAGGGAACTGGGGAAAAGTGGTTTCTTACGACGTCAACTTCAGCAGCCGTCCCCTGTCGAAAATGTTGTTACATTACACTGCACACCCTCTGGTATGCGTCCCAAGCATTTACGTCTTCATCGCAAGGGAAGGTCGCAGCAGAATGGGCCAAAGTGGTGTCCCGCATGCTGAACTTCTGTCGCACCGTACGTGACGGGCACGTGATAATCGGAGGTGCGCCAAGGGGAGGGGGCGAGTCGGCCAAAGTTACCCTCCAGAAAGGAAAGGAGGGGGTTAACCCTTCGCTCAAGTTCCCCGCGAGTGGAGACCGCTCCGCCAGCAGTGGCGCAAGCAAAAGCAATTCCAGCGCTGCACCTTGACCATGACTAAGTTTGGTTTTAAAAAAAAAAACACGACAAAAAAAACCTCGCGCCCACTTCGTGTCTTCACGCGGAAAGATGCCGCTGACGATGACCGCTCCGATAAACTCGACGGGCCGAGGAAGGCAGCGAATAAATAAGGAGAAAAAGATTGTTGTTGCAGAGCCGGGCGTAGGAAGGCGTCGACGACACAATTTGGCGTGCGGGTTCGCGACAAGGGGCGGTGCGGGCAGCGCCCGCGCCCGCGCCCTCCAAGTGCGTCGGGTAGTTTACGGCCTCGCGCTCCGGCGCGGGCACCTGTGATTGTGCTCGCTCGCTCATCATCTCAATTCAAGCTAATAACAACAGCAGCAGCAGCGGCAGCAGCGGCGAGCGATACTCGCGCTCCAGAGGTCCCGTTTCTCCCCCGGCCTCACCCCCACCATGGATTCCACGTGAAAATTGAGCCGCGGTTGATTTACGAGAACGGCCCCGCTCCTTCGAATGAGATTAACAGTTTCTTTCCGGCGCCGGACAGATTTACGACGGAAAAATGACTACAATCATTGGTGCAGGAGCTACAGTTTGATGTTAAACCACTCCTCAAGTATATATATACATTTCTAAAATTTTATTACGGGTTTCAGGGGCGTAAGCCGTAGAATGTGGTTTTTTTTCTCGTGCAGAATTTAAGGCTTCATGAACGGAGCAGCTGATTGAAATTCAGGACCCCACCCCCCCCCCACCTGCTGAAGGTAAAAAAAACCCAAAACAAAAACAAAAATGCGCGTAGAAAATTAAATGAAAACAAAAGTGCCGCAGGTGGTCATCCGAGCGCTTGTGCGAGCAGGAAAACGCGCGCAAAACGGTCGCGTGCAGGCGCATCGAACGGCTGCAGAGGGAACCACCGACGCACAAAGACACCCGAGACTCCCCGCCCTCCTCCTCCCCTTTGGTGCCGTGTCCCGTCGCGCGTGCGTGTGCACAGGGGGAGGCGTCCCACCTCCGTCCCACCTCCCCCAGTGTCGCACAACGCGAGGAAGGTGGCGCCGAGCGTGCTTAGACCGGCGCGCGTGACAACGAACGCCGCAAATGCATATATACAGTGACCCCGACAAAACGAAACATTATTTGGCGATACTGCTTTGGCAGTGGTGCACAAGGGGCAATTGAACAAACAACGAACAGATCAACGCATTCGTCAATAACGTTGCCTTCAAAAAGGACATTGAAATATTTAAAACCGGACGAATTTTCGACAATGGTTACACAAATTATGTTGCGTGCTATGAAGAAGGGCCGTTGCCTGAAACGTCGCCTTAATAACCCCTGCAAGGTCATGACACGTGTTCGGATAACCGTCACCGGCAAATTGTCACCAGCAACTATCGCTTTGCCGTCATCTAGTTGCCAAAATGCGGAGCTCTGTGCATCAGTCACTGCTCATCGAACGCCACACAGCGCTCGACAACCTCTGTCCGGATGAGCTGAACTCTTCTCAATCTACGCCACTCTGGCATAACGACGGAGCTCATAGTTTAATGCATTGCCGGTGGCAATCGTAGGTGGCGGTTGCCCTGAAGTTGCCACGGTGACCTATGAGCATAAAACCCACCCTCCTTTCATCTCCCCCCACACCTCCCTAGCCAGGGAGGAGAGGGAGGAGGGGCGGGGGTATTGAGAATTCGTGGTGGTGAGAGTGGAGGTGGTGGTGGTGGTGGTGAGTAGAGGTGAGAATTGAGTTGGTGGTTGAGAGCGACGGTGGTGAGTTTGGAAACTGAGAGACGATTGTGGTTGTGGGGGGAGGGAGGAGGGGATGAAGCAGGGAAGGAGTGGAGGGGAGCGAGTAAGAGGTGGTGGGCGGGGGAAGTTTGGGGTAGGGGAGCACACGGAGGAGGCCGGAGGGAAGGGAAGGGCAGGAGAGGGCGGGAAAGGGTAACGAGCGGATGGACTGAAAAAGCAATTAACGAAGCGATGAGGTCGTCCGTTCGGAGAGAAGACACGCGTTTGTTGGTACGCCATGAAAAGTGGGAGGCGGATGGGGTCGGTGGCCACGGTGAGAGCGGTACGAGAGGGCGGGGGAATGGGGGCAAGCTGGGCAAGGCGTACTCGGCCGTCTCTAGAACGTCTCGTCGTCGTTGCATTGCTCGGCGGTGTGGCCAAACGACTCGCAAATGCCGCAGTAGGGCCGCTTGGCGTGCCGCTCGCCGTGGTGGGCCGAGTGGGGCGGCTCTTCCTCGGGCTGGGCCTGCGTGGGGCAGTCCTCCGTGTCGTGCAGGTCGAAGCAGTCGCAGATGTCGCAGAAGAGACGCGGCGCCACCTGGCGGCGGCCCTCCTCCGGCCTGCCGGGGGGGAAGGGGTCACGGCAGAGATGGGGTTGGTTGGGGGGGGGCGGTGGGTTAAATGCATTTATCGATTCCCGCGGGTTGCCGAGCGCGGGATTAAAAGGGCCGTGTGATGTAAAGAGGTTGGCGATGGAGAGAGAGGGAGGAGGGGGGGTGGGGTGGTCGAGAGAAAGAGAGCGTGCCGACGATAGCGTAAGGAGATAAGTAATGGGTTTCTTGCATTGAGCAAGGTTAGAGGGGGATTGGGATGAATTCCAATGCCCGCTGCAGAAAGCAGCGGGCATTGGCAAAGCAGGCGAGACCTAATGCGCTGAACCACCGTGAGCACGCGAAACTTGTAGGCGAGCCGGGAACACCGATAACGGATGGGAGTCACGATGATGGCAACGGTGATGATACCAGCGCCTGATCAGAGCTACCACGGTGTCTCCCCGAGTCGGGCAATGGTTACAAAAGCTTGGGGAAAAAAGATGACGCCAGAGTTTCCCCAAGCAAGCGACGAGAGAGCACGCGTGACAGGGCAGCAGATGAACGGTGCCGGGAGAGAAGGAGAAATGTTGTTTCCCCGCAATTTGGGGCTTTGACGGCAGTAGAGGTTAGAGGACACGGTGGTGGTGGTGATGGTGGTGGTAAGACCAGGGGAAGTATATGCGGCGAATTACTTCAATGAAAGGAGGAGAGACCTGGAGATCCAGTTGAAGATCAAAAGCAGTTCTCCCGAGATGGAAAAATTCGGGTAATGCGATAGAGATGTAGACAAAGCACCACTGTTAAACCGGTAATAGCGGGCAAGTCCGGGGAGTAAACACAAATAATTACATCTGGGCGCGCCGTCACCGACGCAGCCCTGTTATTACGTCGTCCCCTGTTACACAGCCAACACTGACGAACCTCGCCTTTCGCTCAGCGGGGGCTAAAACACAAATGTTTCCCTTGTAAATCCAAAGGGGAGGCAGGGAGGGAGGGAGGGAGGGGAGGGAGGGAGGGAGGGAGGGAGGGAGGGAGGGAGGGAGGGAGGGAGGGGAGGGAGGGAGGGAGGGAGGGAGGGAGGGAGGGAGGGAGGGAGGGAGGGAGGGAGGGAGGGAGGGAGGGAGGGAGGGAGGGAGGGAGGGAGGGAGGGAGGGAGGGAGGGGAGGGAGGGCCACAATAACGCAAGCCGTCAGAATTAGCGTTCTCACGAAGCTCTCCGGAGGATTGCTGCATTGTATGCTTTTCTACTGTCACAACAGTAGAACGCCCGCACGCTTGCTGGCATTCAGCACCGCCGCCACCGCCGCCGCACAGGCGCGCCGAAGCAACACGCGTGCGCTGCACGGACGGACGGACGGACGGACGGACTGATGGACGGACGGAGGGACCGACGGACGGTCGAACGGTCGGATGGATTGACAGACAGACAACAGACAGACGGACAGCCGAACGGACGGGGCTTGCGAGCGAACGGGAATAGTGGGAAAAGCGGTGCCTGCGTCGGGCGGGGCGAGGTGGACGTCTCCTTACTCTTCAGCGCTGTCCCCCTGACCGGCGGCGCCATTCCCATTCACGGCTGCCTGGGCCAACCTCTCCAGCTGCGACTGGAGGTCCTCGTTCTTCCTCTGCAGCTCCACGATCACCGAGTTGAGGAAATCCACCTTGCGCGCACGCGGGGATGAACATAGAGCGACGGTGCGCCGAACACAGCGGCGGCGTCATTAGCACGCACGTGGTGATGCGTTCATGAGACACTCCTGCTGATTATTCTGTTGGGACTACATTTTTTTCAGGAGGGCCCTGCCCCGGTTTTTTCGCAGGAGTGGGGCGACGGTTGCGATGTACAATAACCCAAAAGACGAGCAAACGTGCGGATATTTTTTTTTCTTCCAAATTGGCAAAATGTGGACCGTGACGGGGGGGTCGCATACGGTGGGCCCACTATAGCTCCACTCTGCACTCAATTACTCAGTAAGTGCCGTGTGACCGCTATAGATGTGCCCTCTCTCAATTAACTGCTTTCACGGGTGCACTCGGCTCATCGATAATGACCCTCATGGCTACCCACTTGGGTCCCCCCCCACCCCCGACTTCAAAGAATCATTCCCATGTGGCTGCTTCGTTCATCGCTCTCCTTTTGTACCTAAAATGCGACTAAATTTAGATGATTGCCCATTTACATTTTCTTAATGTCCAGATTACCACGGACATTATCGTATGCTCTGGGTTATAAGGCACGGTTTTTCCCCCTTTGTGCATCTGCCAGTCATCTCAGTCGGTGACCCTGTGGGCTACACCTGGGTCTGTCCCTGCTGCCAGAGAGCCTTTGACACTTTGCGTGGCATGATAAAAAATGCACATAGCCTGGCTCAAGCACTGTGGTGATGTCACCGCCATTTAGTGGCGAATGGCGGTTGTTGTTGTTGTTGTTGTTGTCTGGTGTGTGCAGGGAGCAGTGGCGCTGTGGTTAGTGCGCTTGTGCTACGAATCGATTTACGCTCACAGCCATTGATTATCTGAACCAGTCCTGGACCTTCCCTAGGTCGACTCAAACTCAAATGAGGATCTGGTGTGGTGTGTAATCACCACTGGGGAGACGAAAGCAGACGGACGTGGTGCTGGCCACCCATCCCCTCGTGTGCTAAGCTGGCCTTCAAAAAGTGCTTGCTAACAGCACTTTCCCCACCGGTGTGTTAAGGCTATGAGGAGGATCTTTGTCTTTGTGTGAGCGACCACATACATTTAACTATTATTAGCATCGGGTACTAATAAAGTTCGGGGTGCGTCTTACTTTCCAGAGCATCTTATAATCCGAAGAAAACGGAATATTTGTTGTATTAGAAAGAATACATTTACATTATTGGTTCTTTCGGTAAAGTCACGTAGAAGGGAAATAATAAAAATAATGTGTTGGAATCGAAACGCCGTGAGAATTGTATTGTTCTATTTTTATTATTTTATTATTTCCATTCTACGTGACTTGACCGAAAGAACCAAGCTTTAAATCGGAATTTTTTTTTTTATATTATGATTATTATTTTTTCCGTATACAAATATATAATCTTAATGGATTTCAGTTTTTCTGGCCGCGATTCAACGGCAGTTGGTGCTGACTACTGGAGGCCGGGAGAGGGAGGTGGGGGGGTTACCGCACGCACACGCACGCAGCACCAACCATTTGCTGGGCGAGCCAAGGAGCCACGGAGGATGTGGTGGTGAAGGAGGAGAAGGAGGAGGAGGTGGAGACAGTGAAAGTGCAGCCAGGAGATAATTGTGCATCAGGGTTCGAACGGGTGACGGTGTTTGTGGGTTTGGTGGTGGTGGTGGTGGGGTGGGGGGGGGGGGGAGTGTGGTGGAGAGAGAGGGTGGGGGTGCAGAAGGGGAAGCAACAAAAGGAATACAGAAACAAAGAATGAGAAAATAAATCACGGGGAAACCAAGTGGAAACAAGAGCCAGAAGGTGAGACTACATTGAAAACTAATCGCACGACCTGAGATAACGAACGAACGCTCGTGCTCCCAAAAAAAAAAGGCACCGCGCGGGCAAGGAGACAAATTAAAGCGGCGTTCGCCGCCGCCGCGGTGCGTTGCGTGTTTGCGTGTTTGTGTGTTTGTGAGTTTGCGTGTTTGTGTGTTTGTGTGTTTGCGTGTTTGCGTATTTGTGTTTGTCGACCGCCACCGCGTGTACCTGGCTGCTGATGTCGTCATCGTCCTCCTCGTCGTCCGCGTCTTGCCGAGCCGCCTTGGTGGCTGCGGCGTCTGCTGCGGAGGGAAGAGGCGGCATCGGTCTTTGGGTCGCATTCACTCAATTGTCAGTTTCGCGTCAAACAGAGCCTGCGTGGCGAGTAACAGGCACACAAATGCGACTTCAAATGTACGCACGTATGTTGTACGCACGTTGAACTTCTTTCGCGTCTTACGTAGCCAGTCGTGATTATCGGAGGTGCGCTGGTCCATTAACTGGACTGTGAGACATTGACGGACTGTGACATCAACAAAACCGCCAAATAATGGGTCATCTCTACTTCTTTGTAAGTCAGGCCTGGCCACCTTCAATATGATAATTATTTGAAACATCATAGAAGTTAATTTCAATGGTCTTCAATGGACTCCCAAATCAAATGGCAACTTCTGCTATGGTAATCCTTCCAATCGGCCTTATTTAAAATATCTGCAAAAGCATGGGGTCCACACAATACCTTCCAAACAATCGATTAAGGTGATGAAAGGCAATACAACAAAGGCAATTATAGGACAACGGTCGATTGAAATTGTCACCGGTAGTGCAGCTGCCACACCATTTGCAATTGTACATATTGTTGGAAAAAACTCTGGATAAATCTGATCGACGCACTCAGGAGTGGGAAATTGGGATGGCAACTTCCAATCAGATCGCAGACACAGGTCACATGACTGCACGGGGGTTGTGTATTGTTTAGACTAATACATGCTTAACAAATACATTTTCAAGGAAGTCTTTTTTTATTGGTTAGTCGGAACTCTAATCACTCTATGCCCCTGCCATGGCACGGTGCTCACAGTAAGCCCTACATTATTAGTCACGGCTCAGATCAGCTCAGGCGTGCCTCTGGCTCACACAAGCCGGCTCAAAGAAAACGCTTAACCCATTCCCGTTCCGGTGACGTACGTGTACGATAACAAAAAACAAAACCGGAAGGAATAATAAAACAACATTATTGGTACCGAGGCTCACACGACGCCATGCGGGAGGTGCGCGTGGCACAGCTTGGCGCCGGCTATCGGAGAGTGCGGTCGTGTTGTTAGGGCCTCTCTGCCGGGTGAGTACTGTGTCTTTAAAAACAACGGCGCTACGCCTCTGCTCGTTCCGAGATTCGGCGGTGAATGGAGGTCGCGGGTTCGATCCAGACCCTGATGCCTGTATACTTAGAGTTTGCAAATCTCTCTCCCCGTGGACACGTGGGACTTTCTCCGGGTCCTCTGCTTTTTCCCTCCACATTTAAAACCATGCGTATGGATTATTTTGATTATTTGGATGCTATAAATTTCCACGTAAGTCACTTCGTTGAGCGATCATTTTTTTTTGGCAAGGTCGCTTCTGAAAAAGAAGCTAACAAGCTCAGTAGGCTTTATCTGGTAAAATAAAAATAGCTTAGCTTATTCGTATTTTTTTGTGCATTGCTTACCTTCCTTATTCTTTGCACTCCTATCGGTTTTTTTGCATTGTTTGCAAAAATATAGCTTAATAGTCCATCAGATTCCTCCTCCAGTCTCAATAAAGATTCTTAATTCTAATGAGTGGCAACAATAATTGCCCCGAACGTGTCACGGCCTTTGCACATTTGCACCGCAACTATTGTAACCGCAAAGCCAAGATGCGAGCGTGAAGTGCACGTGTGAAATTCAAAAACTGTTCCCACAGCGCTCCCGAGTGAAGCACTACATTTATCACAATTACGATGATGTATTATTTATCTTGTGCCTCGCACCTGCGCACCTAGACGTGTTTTTGACATTGAAAATGTACGCACGGGTAACGCAAAAATAGAAATTCGCACCACAGTAGGCATCGACAATATAGAAATGGTAAATCAAAAGATAATCAACTCAAAATAAAACTATACTTTTTTTTTTTAGCAGGTAAGACCCACTGAGCTATATAGCTCTTTTTCAGGAGCGACCCGGCCACAAATGGATAACTCAACGAAGTGGCTTATCAAGTGGAGATTTATATCAGACAAATACTCTAAACCAGTGGTTCTTAAACTGGGTTCGATCGAACCCCAGGGGTTCGGTGAGTCGATCTCAGGGGTTCGGCAGAGCCCCCGCCACGGAGGTCCGGACACACTTGAATTATTGTGTAAATTTGTGATGACACACACGCCCGCTTGGCCATCACTGGCTGCAGATGATCATGCTACACTGCTTGGCCAATCAGCGCTGCGGGGAATTTAGTGCGCACTCAGTAGTCAACGTGTGACTGTTGTTGTCGTACGTCGTGTGATTTCTTTAATATTTTATCCATACTAACTATGTCGGGCAAAAGAAGAAAGTGGTCGGACGAATATGTACAACATGGATTCTCATGTATCACGAAACGTGATGGGAGTGAGCGTCCTATCTGCATGATTTGCAACGCCAAGTTGAGCAACTCTAGTCTTGCACCGGCAAAACTAAAGGAACACTTCTTGAAGCTGCATGGAGACGGGGAATACAAGAACACAACACTTGCTGAATTCAGGGTGAAGAGAGCCAGATTCGATGAAAGGGCCACTCTGCCTGCTCTTGGATTTGTACCTGTTAACAAACCGATCCTGACAGCATCGTACGAAGTTGCTTACCTGATCGCAAAGCAGGGCAAGCCACACACCATTGGTGAAACACTTGTGAAACCAGCTGCATTAAAGATGGCGAATCTGATACTCGGAACAGCGGCCGAAGGTAAATTATCCCAAATTCCCCTTTCAAATGACACCGTCAGTGACAGAATAGAAGACATGAGTAAAGACATCTTGGCTCAAGTAGTCGCGGATCTGATTTCAAGCCCGGCAAAATTCAGCCTTCAACTCGACGAAACCACAGACGTTTCTGATCTAAGCCAGCTTGCTGTTTTTGTACGCTATGTGAAAGACGACATGATAAAAGAAGAGTTTTTATTTTGTAAGCCTCTTACAACAACAACGAAGGCAGCCGATGTGAAGAAGCTTGTGGATGACTTCTTCAGAGACAACAATCTTTCATGGGATATGGTTTCTGCAGTTTGTACGGACGGAGCTCCAGTCATGCTGGGAAGAAAGTCTGGTTTTGGTGCGCTAGTAAAGGCCGATGCACCACACATCATTGTGACGCATTGTATTCTGCACAGGCATGCGTTGGCAACAAAAACCTTACCTCCAAAAATGGCAGAAGTATTAAAAACTGTGGTGGAATGTGTGAACTATGTGCGAAAAAGTGCTCTGAGGCACCGCATCTTCAGTGAGCTGTGTAAAGAAATGGGCTCTGAATTTGAGGTACTTCTGCTCCATTCTAATATTCGGTGGTTATCCCGGGGACAGGTGCTGAATCGTGTTTTTGCCATGCGTGTGGAATTAGCCCTGTTTTTGCAAGAGCACCAACACTGCCATGCAGATTGCTTCAAAAATCCTGAGTTCATTCTCATTTTAGTGTACATGGCTGATATATTCGCAGCTCTCAATCATCTCAATCAGCAGATGCAGGGTGGTGGAGTCAATATCATGGAAGCGGAAGAACACCTGAAGGCTTTTCAAAAAAAGCTACCGTTATGGAAACGACGAACAGAGAACAATAACTTCGCAAACTTCCCGCTTCTGGACGACTGTGCAAGTAAGATCGAAGATGTGTCTGAAATCGGAGATATTTCTGTATCCACGGAACTGAAGCAAACAATTGCCACGCACTTAGATGAGCTTGCAAAGTCTCTCGACGGATATTTCCCTACAAGAGAGTCATATCCAGCATGGGTGAGACAGCCGTTCACGTTTGCTGTTGAAACAGCAGATGTCAATGATGAATTCCTCGATGAAATCATTGAAATTCAGCAGAGCCAGGTTCAACAGCAACTCTTCAGAACAACAACGCTCTCAACGTTTTGGTGTCGACAAATGAACAAGTATCCAGTTATTGCTAAGAAAGCCCTAGATTTTTTTATACCATTTGTTACAACATATCTTTGTGAGCAATCCTTTTCGAGGATGCTGGACATAAAAACGAAGAAAAGGAACAGACTTTGCTGTGAAAATGACATGAGAGTGGCACTTGCCAAGGTGAAGCCACGCATATCTGAACTGATCTCTCAAAGGCAACAGCAGAAGTCACATTGATTTCCAGGTATGTAATTTGTTGTGAGTTTATGCATTGTGTTGGTTTTATTCTTTGAACAAGGTAATGTTCATGCACGGCTCATTTTGTGTACCAGTAAAAAACATATCTACGTCTTGAATTTGAAAAAAATCACATTTTATTTTTCACTAAAGAGGGGTTCGGTGAATGCGCATATGAAACTGGTGGGGTTCGGTACCTCCAACAAGGTTAAGAACCACTGCTCTAAACCCATGTTGTAAAAAAAAATCTACGCGCCCACGGGGAGAGAGGACATGCAAACGCTGAATCATGCAGGCTCCAGGATCGGGATCGAACCCATGACCTCCTGCATACCAGGCTAGGGAGTTAACATCTCACCACTGTGGCGCCCCAAGATATCGCCGGCCCGAGCAATCAAAGGAGAGTCTGATAAAATAGGTATTGAAATTAATTGTGAATATTTAAATAAAATTAATTAGTAAAAAAAAAAAATCCCCAACGTTATCCCGATTGTGCTATCGTCCTCGCGTCATCACGTGATGCAGAATCCGTTCAGAAATCTCACACAGCCGTGCAGCCATTCGTGTTAGAGAGTGGGCGGCGGAAGTGGATATCGCACCACTACCGCCAAGATCCTTTCAAATAACCTCATGACCACACACGGTCGAAGGTAGCGCGTCCCCACCCACTCTGCCATACGAGAGCAACGTTTGTCGCGAGACAGCCAATCCAACAATCAGTTCATGGCGCTAAAACGTATCCTGATTGAGCGCAGAGCTACATTTTACGCGATGGCTTTTTAATTCAGGCATTGGTGACCTGGCCGAGGGACATCAAATGGTTGCACTCGAGAATCCGGTTTAACGACGAGCGGCCGGGACCCGGATTTGAACCCAGAATCTCAGAGCGACGTCTGCTTGGCGCTCCGACCTGTGAGCCGGCGGGCAGCCTCATCAACGCTCATTGAATTTTGGCACCGCTTAGGCAGAACTGAAATTCTCGCGTGGGTGCATGTGCGATAAGATAATTAGTCACATTTGAACTTCATTCGGCATCGACAACGCACGACGGCAAACCGGCAGCACCTGCTGTCCATGCTGCTGCTGCTGGCCTGCCACTGATGCATGTTTGCTGTTGCTGATGCTGCACGGGCCACCCGTTCTACAGCGAGCGGTCGGTATCTGTGAGCGTCACACCTGCAGGGTGCCTGGTATGCAGGAGTGCGGTGGGTTTGATCCCGACCCTGACGCGTGTATATTTGGAGGTTTTTTTTTCCCTCCACATTCAGAAACATGCGTTTAAGAGCATTTGGCTGCTACAATAAATTTCTATGTGATAAGCCACTTCGTTGAGCTATCATTTGTTGCCAGATCAATTCTGAAAAAAAATGCTCATTGCTCAGTAGGCTTTACCTGATAAATAAAATAGTTTAGTTTCAGTACTCAAAAGAACCGTTTACGATCGTGTTAAGTTCCCACTCCTAATTCGCGGTTTAACCTTTGCGGTCGACAGATGAGGGCGAGTTTAAGCGGCGGAGCGGTGACGATGAAGTCACACGCTCAAAAGTCAGACCCACATGTACGTATGTTGAACTTCTTTGGCACCATACGTAGCCAACCGTGCTATTCGGAGGCATGAAAGTCGATACGTGAATTCTAACCAAGGCCGCGGAAACCCTCAAATTCAATACCGCTACTCGTCCGTGCGTGCGCTTCCTCACTGGAGGCGGCGATGGGCTGAGTGTCGAGCTTCCTCTTGGTCTCGCCGAGCGCCGACTCCAGGCTCCGCACCTTCTGCTCCAGTCTGGCTTTCTCCGTCTCCAGGGCCTGCACCGTGCTCTGCAGGTCCAGCGCCGCGTTGCCCGCACCGCGCAGGGCTGACAGCTGCAGGCACACACAAAGGGGTACAAAGTCCCGCACGTGCCGTGATGGGTGTCCGTCCAGTGCGTGGCGCGCTGCACTGGCTTCCGGTTGCTGAACGAATACATGATGAGGTTCGCACTCATTGCTCACGAAGTGCCTGCCACTAAATGGAACCACAATACCGCTGCTTATCTCGTCAAGGAGCGCAAATCATCATTCGAACTCCGGTCATCCTTGTAGCGGCTTATGGCTTAGCCATCGAACAAAGACGGTGACTGCATTGTGCGCTTTCAGATGTGCTTCTGTGGCCATCTGGAACGCTCTTCCTTCAAAAATTAGGAAGCCACCGGAACTGTGCACGTTTAAATCTAGATTGAAAACTCATTTTTTCAGAACAGCTTTTTGCGTTTCTTTTGTTTTCTATCCCCTGGCACCTCCGATTAGCACGGTTGGCTATGTACAGTGCGAAAGAAGTTCAACATAGATATATACATACACACGCACGTGATTCCGGAACATTCTAGGACGCTTTCCAACACGCGTTTGTGCTCGCAGGTATTTTTTTTTACAAAAAAGTCTATGTATAGTATAGAAAATGGGTGTTACCTGCTTTAACACATCAGAAATTAAGACAAATAATCGTTTTTCTGTGCAGTCGTTGGGTTACCAGGCTGAGCAAGATCAGCTTGATAAACCTGAGAAGCCAGTTCAATCACAGGCTGGTGAAATCTGAATTTTAAACGCAGGGTCTCAGTGTTGCCAGCTAAAGTGCAGATATGGCGATTATGCACCCCTTGAGCCGCCTGGCAACCTTAAAAATAATAAAAATGATAAAGCAATTCACAATGGGCGCAATATATCACGGGGCATAAATGAACGCGACCCTGAGGAGTGGACACTGGACAGTCGATGAGGCCGAGTCAACGGGCCCCAACGGGGAATTGAACTCGCAACCTTCCTCCTGCGAGCCGCTCGCCGTCCCCCTCGGATCCATGCAGAACCGCACGGTTCCATCGGATACAAGCAAGCTGAACTGCAATGTCTCATGCATGCAGAGACCATGTGGCTAACTACACGAGCTTCCTTTTGATGCAGGGCCTCTGATTTCCAGGCTTGGGCCAAATAGTTCCTTGGTTAAATGCCTCAAGCCACGTGCAAAGACAAGATCCCCGTATAGCCTTTCGACAGACTCTTGGGGAAAGTGCTGTTAGCGAGCAGCACCTACGAAGGCCGGCACGCCACAAGACGGGGTGGGTGACCAGGACCACGCACCCGGCCGCCTTTGCTTCCCCGGCGCCGATGTGCATACAGCACACCAGGTACTGACTTAAGGCTGAGTCACCCTAGGGGAGGCGCATGAACGGTTCAGATAATCATCACCGATGTTGGCCGTGGCCGAAAATCGAACTCGGGTCGCCGGACTCGCAGTTCGGCACGGTGAACCACCGTAACTACTGCTCGGCGGGAAGCCATCCACATGCACGCACGCACAGCGCTGGCAACGTTGACCGAGAGATACTAGAACAGATTGAGGCAGAGCGAACAACTTAGAGGCAGCCAGATTAAAGCATTTTGGCAAATCCCACTCGGTTTCACTGGTAATGCATTTTAGTGGCAGTATCCAGACAGTGATTTATACCGGGGATATTAAGTCGTACCCGCCGGGGCAATTTTAAACAAAAGGAAGCAACGGTAAGGCGTGCGAAGATTCACCCCACCTCCCCCACCCTCCCACGGAGTGATTCGATATGAAGTTACGATTCAGGGTTGTGACTCGATTCAAGAATCCATTCTCTTTGGTCAAATCATCTCTTGGTGTCGTTTCTTGAGTTTTATTTCTTCATCCCGTCTTGATAGCACGATGACCAAAACAAACAAATCAGTGCGGTCAAGTTCTTGTCAGATCTTGGTAGGATTTGAGCCTGGTCAGTACTTTGCATGGGAGAGACTGCCTGGGAGTACCACGTGTTGTAGGTTGGAGCTACAAGGTGGTCAGGAGATAGCATTAGAGTAATTGATTCTTAAACCTATCCGTGCGGAGGCTTGAATGTTACAACCTCGTATGGCGAGTTAGGTCTTCTGTGGGTACTCCTGTGTAAAGCTCCTGAAAAGGTGTCCTTGAGACTGGCACCACTTTTCCACTAGCACACCCGAGCCAAGCTGGCACGGCGCCCTCGCGGTACAATGGGAGGTTTTTCTCCACTGGCTGTCTGCCGTGTCCGAGCCAGAGCCAGAGCCAAACCGTGCTCCACTGGCCTCGCAAGAAGACATCCGGAATCTGGATCCCAGCAAAGTGGAGCCAGGGGTGGGGCTAACGACACGTACGCTGCGAGTGACGTCGGCGCCTCTCGGCTTCTGCGGTCGGCAAAACGCAACCCCCCGGTCACCCCTTGAGCCGCGTCGGACTTGCCTCGGCTACGGCTCGGATGTGCAGTGGAAAAAGGCAGGTGTCGGCTAAGGCTTTTTTGCTGGGTAAACAAATGTCGTCCGCGATACGACGGACTCCGGAAGCGGGCGGCTGCGCCTCACTCACCTCGGTCTTCAACTTGTCCAGCTCGCGGTCCCTCCCGGAGATCTTGCTCGATGTCAGGTCCAGGGTTTTGCGCAGCGACGAGCGCTCCTCCTCAAACTCGGCCACCAGGGTCGACTCTCTAAGCGAGGGGGCCGGGGAGAGGGGTTGAAGATGAGGAGGGATGAGGAGGGGGGAGGAGGAGCGAGTCAAATTTGAGAGCGAGCGTACGTAGGCAGTGGCGGGGGGATGAAGGATGCAAAGGGATGGGACAGAGACAACAGCAAAACCAGAAGCGCGTAAGGACCGCGGGCGGTACACGGATGCAACTGCAGGGGCAATCGTCACTGGAAATAGTTGCCACGGCATTTTTAATTTCCCGAAAACAAGATGTGCGCGGGCATGCATCAAAATGCATTGATGTTCTGTGCTTCCATGCTTCCACGTCCATGCTACCCACACACTCACAAACCCACGCTGCAAAGAGGGGTGAGGTATGGTCAAACAACCACCGCAATCCCGCACGGGGTGGGGAGGCCCTCATCCAGCAGTGGATTGCCCAAAAGGGTTGCGTATGTATTACTTGTAAAAAAAATACCAATGGGGAAGTGCTGTTAATATGGAAGGGTTTCCTGTTCAACCGAGGACAACCCATCCCCACCTGATGACAGCCCTAAAGCTAGTGGTAAATATTCCACATTCCTATGATGGGGGCGAGATATCCATCGGAACATCGCCGTTTTATTCCCACATGGGAGTTCTAGTTTAACTGGCCGAGCCTCCTCTCAACTGTGACTCGATATGTTGCATATTCAAAGCAAAATTGAAATACATTTTGGTCATGTACAGCCCTTTGTAAATCCACTGCTGGCTGAAGACCTCTCCTACGCCGTCTCGACCGTGGGGGAGGAGGGGGGGATTGTTTTAACTATACTTCACTGCGCTGATCAGCGCAGATTGGTGAAGAGTGAGGGGGTTAGGACCGCTCCAGATTATCGCTCGCCACCGCTGTTAGCCACGGCCGGGAATCGAACTCTCTTCACCAAACCTCATACTGGAACGTGCTAGCCAACGAGCCGTCGAGTTCTATATAGAAAGGGCATGGTGTGCCTTAAGAGCAAGCCGGTCCCAACGTTGTGGTCCGTGGACAGCTAGCGAACGCGGAACTGTTGCAGATGCTACGGTGTTTAACATTGTGAAATATATGTTATTGGCACACGGTGGTCCCGTGAAAATGATTTGAGTTGTTGACGGCGGTCTCGCGGGTCTAGAGAGGTTGGGGTAACTCTGCTGCCTCAGGGTATAAGGTAGGCAAGCCCGAAGGTTAAGAGTAAAACACGTTTTGAAAAAAACGTCCCATAAATTTCACTTCGACTCTTAATTGGGCGAAGACAGACGCAGAGCGCAAACGTACTTGCAAGCACGCACACGGATGGACGCGAGCACGTGGATAACATCGGCGTGCTATGCAGATCCACAGCCGACAACACGACGTCTGTCGCAGCGACGCGCAATGGCATACGCATGCACGCAGCCACACACCAGGGATGCAACGATTTGACTTCTAGTGTGGTGGATTTTGACAATCCGCGGGTGGGTGGGGAGCGGGGGAGGGTTACAATTCATGATTCGTGAATCCACCGTTATTCTGCGCGTGTCGCGTTTACAGTAAAAATGAGCAGCGCCTGCAGTTGCTTGCCCACACGAGTGCTGGTGGAAGGGGCCTCTCCAGGAGAGGACGTTTGAGACGAGCCACCTCGTTTTTTTTTGCCTACTCTTCCACGCTGGCCAGACACGATTGAAGGAAGGGAACGCTAACCCTTTACCACACCGCGCGTGACGAGCCGATCGACTACAGATGTTGGGCGCAACCCATTTATACCGCTGCAATTTACGGCTGCAACGAAAAAAAAATATAACAAATCGGAATCAATTGATTCTCGAGTATTCACACGGGCAGGTGGTTTGGTGCGCGCATCGCGGGCGCCGATGGTCGATCCGAGCCGACGGACCATTAAAACGCTACATCCCTAACGGGTGGGTAGCCCCGACTCGAGCACGTAACGGACACGGGAAAGCCGTCAGTCAGGCATCAGCAAGCCAAGTGAGCAATCAGAAAGCGAGCGAGCGAGAGGCGGCTACCAGGGCAAGCAATACGGTACCTTGGAGCATTGCATGGGAGGCTTTGGGTTGTAAATGAAAGGTTAACGCAGACGCATCAGTGCAAAGTAAAGCCAAAGCGGATCAACAAAAGACCTTGGCGCCGCGCAGCGCAAGACTGCATCGCGCCTTATCGAACGCCGCCGATGGGGATTAAGCGCAAACTGATGTCTCGTATCGCCGGCTGAAAGGGGCACTGTATGTGAGCACGCGCGAGCAAGGTCCGTCACGGAGGGGTGGCGGTGGGACAGCTTTCTCGCCCTCAAATGTGGAGCTTCGCAAATATATATTCTTAGTTTCATATTTGTACACACACAAGCGCGCGAGAAATTCCAATTGAAATTGAAAGGGTCCGGGGATACACCGGTTGGTCTCTGGAGGTTGTTGCCTTGCCAGATTGAGAGTGCGGGGAGGTGAGGCAGGGATGGTGTAACGGTGGCGGTGGTCTGTTGACAATGGGTTCAAGTTGGATTGGCGCACGGTTTTGAGTTTTTGGCGGAAATCAGAGCAAAATCTTGGGGCTGGATTGTTTACGCTGTCAGCTAGCGCAGTATATTAAATGATTATTGGGCAGGATCGTCTGCTATCCCCCCCCACCACCATCATCTGCCCACTTTGCCCCCCAACTCCGACTCCCCTCAGGGTCTAATGATGCTCCAGAGTAAGGCTGCCGTGTACCCCGCAGGACAAAGCTCTTTGTAATCTTCAAAGCACAACCACAGCGTCGGCGGAATTAATAGTTTGGAAGGAAAGCGTCGGCACGGAAAGCGGCGCGCGGATATTAAATAATACTTATACGTGTGTCTAATGCGGCCGAGATGGTTGAATAGAAGAATGCTAATTCACCGGCAGGAATATTCACCCCCTCCCCCAACTCCCCGCCGCCCCCCCCCCAAACCCACTCGCCCCACACCCCCCAGGGCGCCTACTTAAAAATGCGCAACAATTCCTGCTTCATTTGCGCAAGAGAAAGAAGTAATTATCGCGTTTTGGCGTAACGGCTTTGCGCAAGTAGCGGCTCTTGGCTGCTCGAGATCGTCGCCCGACGCGCTCATCTCTCGATTTCCATTTTTTTTCTCCGACGCCCATAAAAAAAACCTGCAAATCGGTGCAGTTAAAAAATATATAAACCTTTAGAAAACATTTCGTAAGCAACGCAACAGTTGTTTTATGCACGAATATAAAATTAACAGGAAATACGTCGGCTTTGTTTTTCCATTGCGGTCGTCTTCCATGACATTTCTCCTGTAATATTAACCGTGGGTGTTTATTTAAAAGATGTAAAAAATATACATATAAAAATAACCCAGTCCCTACTGCTTTCTGAAAAAGGCCCTCCTACCGATTTCGAATCAGCGTCGAGATGCGGTCGCATTTAACATCCAAATCGTGTTGTACAAAAGGCGGGTCTGAAGTCAAAGTGCCGATATACAGTGTCCTTTTAAAGCCCTTACTATTACCAGCCAACGGCCATGCCCACTCACCGACGACTGCCGCCCCATTGGGCTTGGATCACAATCAGAACCAGAAATATCTTAATAACTCTGATAATAATCAAGAGCTTAAAATCTGTACGCAACATCCGCCAGCGCGGACTAGCATCTCTCTTCAACGTCACGTAACCCCCCTTGCCCATCCACATTTGCACCTTACATTTGTGTTGTTGTTGTTGTTATTAATTACCCAGCGGAATTTTTCGCACCGGCAAAAAACGCGTTTGAAGTTAGCCCCCCCACACCCACCCGCCCCGACTCTTAATTTAATCCGCTGGCAAATCACACGCTGCAGAGGCAGTGAGTCCAGCAACGCGGTGGCGCAGCAGCAGCAGCAGCAGAAGCGTTAACAAACTGCTCGTCAGTTGATATAAAACATAACACGTCAAATATTTATAGTGGTGGCAGGGCGAACAAAAAACAATTAATGTACAGATTTTTTTCTCGCTCTCTCGCTCTCTCTCTCTCTCTCCACACATAAATTTGGTTAAAATCTATCTCTGTCCTGGTTGTGATCAAAGCAGTCGGCGGAGGGATCATCAAACAGGCAGGTCTAATGATTATGCTGAGAGACAGGGGCCGGCGGCGGGGGGGGGGTGGGGGCGAGCGTAGGGCAGGGGAAGTTTATGAGAGTGTGTTATAATTGAAGGGAGCCATTAGGAGAGTACAGCTTGGGGTTGACTTTTTTCAGCCTTACCACAGCAAGACACAAAACGCGTACGGAGAGGGGGGGGGCAAAGAACGGCAAAGAGAGAGACACACACACACGAAACACATCTTGCATCACGGACACAGACCCCCACAGCTAAATCAGATCACGCGACAACAGTAGCAGCAGATGAGCCCAGATGTTACTCATGGCCGACGAGATGCTGTTTACATCCGGCTGTGTGACCGGTGACCTTCATTGCAGACATTCGATGAGTTTGGTCCGCAATTCGTGTTCATGATTTAGATAATAGTAAAAATAATTTTAAAAAAATCTATTTTTTCTAGCGTCCCATTTTTAGCACCTCGTTTGTATTGTTTTGTCGTCATTATTCAATCGGTTCTTCCATGTGGTTTAGTTTGCTCGATTAGACGAGATGGAACGTGTGTCTGTCATTTGCATGTTATTTGCTCCTCTGACTTGCATCCGATTGTTCAAATTGCTTATATAACTTAATTCGCTGTCTTCCACGGCTCTTTGTTGGACTTAGAATTTTCCCCATTCGGAATATCATTTACAGTCCGTCTCTTGGTTTCCAATTGCATGCCTAATAAATCAAATTCCGCCTTTCTCCAATTGCTCTCACGAATCTTCTTTTATTTGCACACACCATAATTATTTACGTGCCCAATTTGATGCACATACCACTCGCCAGCAAAGAAATATATTTATATCGATGCACCCTTCCATGTCTTAGTATATTAAAACACCAAGGCATCTGCAATTAATTCGTATGAAACACATAGCTGCAATATTTATATTTAATAACTGCTCCTGCAGATGCTATATGTATATTATGAAAATGTTTTTGCTTTGTTGAACCATAGTCTCATACCGTACATTTTGTGCACAGATATATATTTGTGCAGTAAAGTACTTTGTAATGTATCCCAAGTCTCCCTTCCAAGAGACTTATTTTGAATAGGCTCTCACCCACCTGGAATGTGTAATAATAAAAATATATTACAAATAAATTATTCACAAGTTTGTATCGTTCCGCTGCTAGATGAAGTTCTCTCCACGGCACGGTGGTTGTTTGACCGTACTTTACCGCGCAGTTCAACGCCGCTCGCCACTCACGTTGGCCGGGAATGAAACCCAGGCAGCCGGGTTGATGACGTGGTGTGCTAACCACCGCTCCACCCATGTACGTGTTCACATGTTCTGGAGTCTGTTCGTATTGACCCAAGGTTTGTGTCACGCACGTGTCCCCCCCAGTTTCGGGGGGGGGGGAAGCCTGCTTGGAATATGACACAAACAGCGGCAGCAGCAGGACAACGACGGCTATGCCATACTGATGAGGCCTGATAAGCACGAAAACCGGTATACGCCAAATTTTAAGATATTTTCCACCGGTGGCTATTACAGGCTGCGTGCACAATGTATGCAGGAATGGTGATGTTCATCTTGACATGCAAATAATGCTGGGGTTTTATATCGTGATTTTGCAGTCGAAAACAACATTATTATTATGATCATTTTGTTTCCAGCCCGTGCACTTTTTTTGCGGATAATTAGCTTTGCTCGTGGGGAGCGGTAGTGTAGTGTTTAGCGAGCTGCGCTATGAACCCGGTGACCTGGGTTCCGTTCCCGCTTACCGCCACCAATAACCAGTGATGATTATCTGAACCGGTCCTGGGCTTCCCCTCGATCGACTCAGGCTCAAATGCTTCCTTGCTGCAGTGTATAAATATCATCACTGGGAAGACAAAGGTGGCTGGGCGTGGTGCTGGCCACCCACCCCGTCGTGTGCCGTGCGGCCTTCATAGGTGCTCGTGAACGGCACATGCCCCAACAGCCTTGTTAAAGGCTATACGGGGGATCTTTTGTTGTCTTTATGTATGTGTAGTGACATCAGAAATGTCACTGTATGGTGCCGGCCCGGGAGGGCCGCGGCGTGCGATAAACTTACGTCGCGGACAGCACCGTGTGGGTTGCTGTGTGAGGCCGGCTCTAGCACAACACGACGTGCGATGCACCGTCATCACGTACACCCCGTGGGTGGGTGTAGCACCAGCACTAGCGGGGCCTGGTGAGCGCTGGGATAGCGCGGGCACCACGGGCTCCTCCCACAAGGGGGAGCGGGAGAGCGTCAGCCCAGGGACAGAGTTGCCCCGAGCCATGGCACTCTGGTTGACCCCGTAGACACGTGATCTGGAGTGTCCACAGAGAAGGCCCCAAGTGGGGGGGCTAGGGGGTGATCACGTGTCCAGGGAGAGCTCTCGAGAGGGAGCTAGAACGCTCGAGAAGGCGGGCGGGGCCGAGGGCGGAGCCGGCCCCGACCCGGGAGGATATAAGGTGGGTCCCTGAGAGGGACCGGGGTCTCTTCGTTCTGCAAGCTGGAAGCTCTACGTCCTACGAGGCATCAACACGTCACCGGGGACCCGAGTGAGGGTCCGACCCTTCATAGCTGTAACTCCAATGTATAGTGTAGTTAGCTGGGTGGTCACCACCCCAGGCTGAATCTGGTAAAGGGGCAGTTACCCCTTTGTATATACGTGTTACAATACATGTGTTGCCTCTAAAGAATAACGTCTGCGACTCAGTTGGACTCACTACATATGCGAACTCAAGGTGCAGTGATCAAAGCACTGAAATGGTTATGGAAAGCATTACATTATGCGGGAGTTATTTTTCAAACAGCAAATTACTTCCAAGAACCACGATGCCTTTCTTGGAACAGAATGGAAGCACCAAATTGCAAGCGCCTCTATTAAGGCATATATATTTATATTTGAAAACAGCAAATTTGCAAATAACACTGGAAAAAGCATGCATGGCAGAGAGACGATGTCTCTCGCTCTCTCTGTTGCTGTGTTGAGACAATGCCAGAAACGTTAACTAATATAAATATATTGTCCGTTCCAATTTTTTACGCGCACAAATTTCGCGAAACGGACATAACGTTGTTCCATCGGGATCTCGGGAGAGGTTTTTTTTTTATATGGATTCGTAGCAGTTTTGTTGAGAAACACCTTGAGGTTTAAATTTTGATGGGACGCACCACCGCCAACGCGGCACCACCAAAAAAAACACGCGTGTGTGAGGATATCGCGCGGCAACATTTGGCGCACCGCAAACAGCTGGGGGTGCGTACGTGTTGGCAGAATGTGTGCGCGCACGTAAGTGGTTTGATACTGATGTATCGAGGTCAAGCGTAGAATCTCACTTCAAAACTAAAGCTCCTGTACGCAATTAAATATAATCATTGGAAATGAATGCAATTTGCACGCTCTAACGCGGAAAAATGGACTTAATTAATGGTACAAATTATTCCAACCCAAGTCTTTTCATTGCCATTAATTAATAACCATTGCAAATTCTGCCCACACCTCCCCACCCGCACCCCACAACGGCCTTTCATCCCCCACCCCTCCAACCCCCCACTCCCCACACCCAGTCCGTAAAATAAATCGCACCTTCTTTTCATGTCGAGCAGCTGCTGATTGAGAGTCGATTTCTCCTCGTCAAGCTGCTGGGACGACACGAGACCACGGAAAGTTGCGTTAGGCACGAGGAAGCCGACAGCGTGGCGACCGCGCGGTCGACGAGTGGCGACAAGTGGCAACGCGTCCGGACGGCCGCCCTCACCCCCACGGCACGAGAGCCGAAAATCCCAACGGGCGCCAGCGGCGAATCGGCGCCAGCGGTCGAAACCACGGGGGAGAGGAAGCGATTGGTGGCGAGTTGGGGGGGGAGGAAACACGACCGCGGTCCACTCACACACAAAGCCAACAAAAGAGCCGCATCGCACCGATAATTTTTGAATGATTGTCCGTACTTCACCACGCTGGTCAGTCAGTGCTGGCTGTTGAACGGTTCGGGTGGGAGGGGTGGGGGTGCGTGCCCAGGACACGGTTAAGGTGCGTTAGACATGTCCGCCACCGATGTTAGCCATGGTCAGGAATGGAGCTCGGGTTGTCAGGTTAGGAGAGCAGTTTGCTAACCTCCTGCGCCACCGCTCCACCTAATGATTCATTACGTAGCTACAAATGAAGTTACACAGACAGGCCTTTTTGTCATTCCACTGCTGGATGAGGGATTTGCATGATCGCCTGGTCATGGCAGTAAAAGCAAAAGGACTGCCGAATCCATCTGTGCAAGAGCGTGGAGGGTTTTATCCGGGTTCATCCGGTCTCATCGCATTCACGAAACAGAACTGGCCAAACGTCAACAATGTAGTGGGAGAAGAGGAGACTTGGGAGACTCGGTGAGGCTTTCCTGGGTAAATAAAGGACATTTTCTGGTTATAAATATTTATATTCGTTTCCCCAGTGGGTCAGGCACACAACAGGCAGCCGCAGGCAAGTGTGGGCAGCAATAGCGGCGGTGGCGGTAGTACACACATCATCCGACCGCACTGTGAGAAGCGCAACACTTATCACATTCTGGCAGTGGCTTTCGCGTTAATTTTTTTTTTTGTTCCTCATCATTAATTGCAAAACCAGCTATTTAATGAGTGCACATTGCACGCACGTTTTGCAATCCACTGCAAATTCCCCGGAACAATTAATTCGGTTAAAAAAACGCCAAACTGCAAACGACTTTGGGATGTAATGTGTGATTATGGGTTTTTGTTACTTGTGAAGTATACGCTGTAAGATATTTTTTCCCATAAAAAACACGAGTTATTTATGGGGGGGGGGGGGGGGGGGGGCTGCTTGCAATTACAATGCAATACAATTTGGGGTTATGCATACAATGCAATTATAATTATACAACTTTAGTACAAATTTGCGTTGCTATCTGAGACTTGGCCAACAGAAATTCTGTTAAATTGGTTCAAAGAAATGAGCCAGAGTAAAAAAAGACAATACTAGAGTATTTGAAAATACGTTACCCCCGCCCCCCCCACCATCTTCCTCACTGCCACTTAAAACAACTATTTAAGCAATTTAACAGTTCCTGACGCATGTTTTAAAAACGTTTACATATTTCATGCATATGCATGATTGTTCTGCCTTGATTTCCTCTAGCCAACGACCTACCGGCATGGCTGCCTGCCTACCTGCCACTCCATAAACCAAATTACAGCCGCCGTTTTTCGGCAAAGGATCTAGACATGCAGTCGCGCATATGGGTGCCGTATAAATCCAGTGGCATCGCCGTTACTATTCTCGCCATCATCATTCTGCCGCAGCGGCGCTTAAGAGCCGCGTGCGGTAAAGCGACGTCGTTTCGGCTGCGAGGGTGCCAAACAACGACAGCGATGTGCGGCGCCCGCCGCCGTTTCGAATACAAAAAAAAAAACGTAGGCTGTCAAGACATTTTGTAAAACTGAAGGGTCTGGACGCCCGTGCTCAAATAATCACCGATATTTTCAAGAAATGTGCAAAGATTTAGAAAAGGTCAAGCACGCGCGTGTTAATGGGATGGCGTTGGAAGAACATTGCCACTGTTTTTTCGACCTCGCACGTTTCGGCATCAGGGCAAGTGGAGGAGGGGGTTACGGGGGGGGGGGGGTGGGTGGTCAGTATTAGAGCAGCGGAAACGGGCAATACTTTGACTGGTTTCAATACTAAATTAATAGGGCGAGGGCCTGTTTCGCGGTGTCGTTGTGGTCCATCGGCCAATGAGGCTGCTGCACCAATGTTTTCCAGCAGCATTTTGTTTAAGCAGACGCAGAGTCTCATCAGCAGAGACTGGCCGGTCAGGGCGGTGACGTGGCCCGTCGGTAGCGCGTTCGTCGCCTGTTGCAGAGGTGCACGGTTCCAATTCGGTGGCAGCCCCTGATTATTACCACGGTTATAATAACCATAAATAACACTCCGTGCCATCTGCTTCACTCGCAGTGGACTTCAAATATTCCCACGACGTGATTCGAAAGAGCAGGCCAATGTGTTCCATCAGCGTCAGGGTCCAAACTTGCCAATTTCGAAAATTACACCGCTAATTACTCAATTGGGATTCTACACACAACAGCAGTGATCTTTGAACCCTATTGGCAGACTCATGCCCCTAGTCTCTGGCTTCTCACACTGGTAACATAAAATAATTTTTTTAATTGCATTAAACATTGCTAGGTTGCCCAACGTTATAGACAAGAGCATTCTCAGAATTACAGCAGTGCCAATTATGCAATTTAAAAAAGCTAAAATATTTTCCGACATTCCTGCTCCTCCGCATCTCCGACGCGTTTTCAGGTCGTGCCGCGTGTTGTTTGGCGCAACGTCCAACGTTTCACTCTGCGTGCCGGAAGCTTCTTCAGTATTGTGCTACCGGCACGTGCAGCGGACACAACAGACCGACATCACCGTGCGGTACAACACGAGAGAGAGCGACACGTCGGGACAGACGCGCAGCAACAACCGCGAACACCCAACACGGTCGTGCCCCCGATACCAACGGCAAAAAGCAAAGGCACGGGAACAGGCGAGCACGGCTGGGTGCGCCTGCAAGGCGCGATCATTACCATGTGACAGACAGGCCCCATGTCTTACCTTCTGGCCGACCAGCTCGCCCTGCTTCACCTGTGCCAGCTCTGACACCAGCCTCTCTTTCTCTTGCTTCAGTCCAGACAGCTGCGCTTCCTTCTGGGACACGCTTGCCCTCAATTCTTCGCTGCACGGAGAGAAGGCGGCGATAAATAAATGATAGCCACGCGCTCAAGAAAGATTTCCCTTTGCGAAAAAAGGGAATCTCTTAGGCCGGGGTCCATGCTAGCCCAAGCAATTAGACGTGCGAATCTGCCTCTTCTGCAGTGAGGAACCGGTTGCGCAACTTCCTCGCAACTGGCTGCAAAGACGTCCGCATGAGGAACTCCTCATGCAACTTGTCATGCAGCTATCCCTGTGCAGCACTGGCTAGCAAGCGGGCATTAAGTCTGCCAGTAAGTCGGCGGCGACGTTGCTATGCACCTTTCCCAGATACAGTAATTCGCGAGTGCTCGATCACATTTGGACCAGTGCCCAGTGAAAAACTCACAGCTGAGCGGTGAGCCCCACAATCCTCTGGTTGCTGCCATCGTCGCGCTCTCTCCCCGTCTCTCGCTCCTGCTGACTCAGCTGCTTCAGTCTCTCCAGCTGCGGATAAACACATGCACGCGAAGAGCAAAGGCACGCTGCAGTAACACGCGCAAGTATGTTCCCACACCCCCCCCCCCCCGTCAATCTACTGCTGGATGAGGGCCTCCGCAATGCCGTGTAGGTCGGCTTAGCTCGAGTTGGTGAAGGAGGCAGGGAGCATGGATGTGGGGACGTAGAGGTATATCACAACTGCTGTACTGCCCTCTGCTGTCCGCCATGCAGCCCTTATGTCGATAGTCGGAACGCCTCTCATGTAAAGTGGTCGCCCACCCAAGCATTATGCAGCCTTAAACCAGCTTAGCTTCCGAGATTGGACGAGATCTGACGCATTAAGTGTTGCAGCAAAATGTTTTTCAACTGGTTTAAAAAAAATAAGTTGTCTTTTCTTCCAATTTTATTCCAACTGTGCTATGGGTGTCATGTCAAGCGAGGAAGCATCCATTAAGATCTCTTGCAAGCCAGTGACCCTCCGTGTAAAGAAAACGGCTCGTGGAAGAAGATATCACAGAACGACTTCTGAGAACCTCTTCAAGTGACCTGCGGTCCACTCGGTGGGTGCCAGCACTCATCTACCTGGCCTGCCGCAGGGAGCAACGTTAATCTCCTGACGCATAAAACCGATATTTTCAATTCTCAGCAGGTTGAATTTTACCAAATAATGACCACAATCTAATTTAGTCGAATAGTTTTGTTTCTGTATAAATCATTGGTTGGTGGGGGCTGGAAACATCAACTTGCTACGCTTGGCAGCAACCTGGTTTAGTCGGGCGACATGGTGACGAGATGTTTACTACTTTGCCTTGGTATACAGGGCATGGGTTCGATCCAGACCCTGACGCCTATATATTTGGAGGTTGCATTCTCTCCCCGTGGTCGCGTGGATATTTTTCCAGGTCGTCTGGTTTTTAACTCCACATTTAGAATCAACATGCGCTTAGAGTATTTGTCTGCTATAAATTTCCACGTGATAAGACATTCATTTCGTTGAGCTATCATTTGTGGCCAGGTCGCTTCTGAAAAAAGCTATATAGTTCAGTGGGCCTTACCTGCTAAATAAAAAAATAGTTGTTCCATATTCCAAGTGGGAACCCTCTGGGCCACGTCAGGCCAGCCCAACATTTGCGAACACTCAAATCGTGCACGTACACATACACAAATGCACGCGCCATTTAATGTAATTGGGCTTAGCCTCTATGGACACAAATCTTCCCGAACTCCCATCCGCCTTCAGCGAAAATTACATGCGATCAAAACCGTTCACGGTCTGGCTATACGCCGTAACATTTAATAGTAATAATGAACGTAAAGTAATTATACTTGGGATTTATACGGTGTCCTTTATCATAGTTCTCAGAGCGCCGAGCAAGTAAAGGATGGGAATTAATAATAAGCAAGGAGTAAGCGGGGGAGAGAGAGGCTAAAGAAAGAGAACGAGAAAAGAGTCGGCCCCTAGTCAGTCGACTCCCAAGTTTAAACCTCCAAGGGGGCAGGAAATTTCCACGGCCTGGGTGCTGGTGGAGACAAAAAGCCGGGGCCACCACAGGACGCAAGCTGAGGGTCCAATAATGCAGCACACGCTGGCATTTCAGCGCACGCTCAAATACAAGCATAATCACTTTGAAAAAATCAGTTCACGTCCGGCGAACCAATCGCCGTGACATTGTGCAAATACAATGCCTCACCTGCACGCCGGTCCTAACGGAGACCGGAGTCGTCCGACCGATTCCAAGCGTGTATCCTTTCAGCGGCGCACGGTAAGCACTCGGTGCAAGGGGTTACATAATTGCATTCTGACGGTGGGGTTTTTTACGTAACCAGCCCCCTCTCTGGACTGCGTAGCAAACAGTGAGACAGAAAGCAGGGCGATCGTCTGCAGGATTAAGCAACTTTTAATCTTCGCCAAAGCGCTCCAAGGTCAAAATGAAATGTTTGATACCGACAGCAGAACACGGCAATAGAGCGACGGAGAATACTCTCCGAGCTAAGCAAGTGACATCAAGCGCTTCCCAACCCCCCTTCATCCCTGGGGAGTGCTTCGAGACGCCAACAAACACGTGGCTCCTCTCTCTAAACGAACGACATTGCCGCTTCGTTAATGCGCCCATCCCTCCGCTCGTTCGCTCCCCTCCCGTTCCCCCTCCGCTGTAACTCCGGCCTCCTTCCACACATCCTCCCCGCCCCCCTCCCCTACCCCCCCCCCCGGCGATGTTCCAAAGCTGTACTGTCAGCAGCGATTTGCGTCACTGGCCCGCTGAAACACACACACGCGCCGCCGCTTGATTAAGGCCGTCAAAAACGCAACGGAGGATCGGGGCCACAGGTCAACACCTGCGGGGGACATCTAACGGGGAGGTTACGTTGCGTTTGCCCGAACAGTTAACGAAATAAAAGGAGAATTTCAGCAAAAACGAAACCCATTACAATAATCATCCCCGGCGAGAGCAACGTGGCTATGAATCCTTGACGGTCATTAGACAAGCAGGTATGAAGTAGCACATGCATGGGGCGTACGTAACATAACGTTTCTTTTGCAACAGTCCGCTGACCGACGCTCTTGAGAGGTGAGCGGCGAGAGACCGGCACGCGGAATCGTTCCACACGGTCGGCTTTGTTGGGGCAATCGCCAGAGACCGGGAGCGGCAGCGACGGTGAAAATTCCCGCTTGCGGAAGATTCTGCTGCAAATCCCCCGAAAGACCTACGCTCTCTCCCTGCTCGGCGACGTGGTTCTAAATCCGCTCCTGCAAATAGCCGCCTCCATTATTTATTTATAATAGGGCGTCTATTTCCATTAGCCGGCACGTTACGGGGACTGGGGAGTAGGTTGGGGGCGGGAAATTGCGTACGCCGGGAAAAAAATAAATGAACGAGCGTACCGCGTGGAGGCGCCGTGCAAAAAGCAACCGATGCGAGCCGCACAGCTTGCAACGGCGCGCAGAAATCCGCTTAGAGTCTGCTTGTCGGGAGGGCAAAAGATAAAAGCCGACGAATTGTTCGGACGAAATTGTTTCCAATGGCGTTCGCGTTCATCGATGTTCTCGCTTCCCGGTGCACGCTGCAGCGGCGACGACGGGCCGCCAAGTCGTGCGGTGCAACGAGAAAGGGCGAGCAACGTTGGCGCGTCCCGTCGCCAAAGCCGGCCATCTGCTGCCCTCTGCAGGGGTTATGCTTCAGGGCAGGGACCACCCTCCCCCGCCCCCCGCCCCCCCCCCCCCGACCGCCTCTCTAATACGGCTCCGAACAACGGGAGCCTCTCGCCACCCTTGGTGACCATTACCCAGCCAGCGCGTGTCTATAGGTGTGCGCCAACGCGGCTATGCGTCGCAGCTGTGCCTGCTTGTAGACACGCCATGGGGGGAGTTGAGGGAGGAGGGCAGAGAGTGGGGAAATTTCCGCCGCCCCCCCCTCCCCCCGCTCCGTCGCCCTCCCTTCCCCACAAATTTTATTGCTTGCCCGTTGTGCCTCTGATTAGCACGGTTGGCTACGTACGGTGCGAAAGAAGTTCAACATGCATACTTACATACATCACAAATTCGATTATATGTAGAGATAGAGAACGGAATTTTTCTCACCGACACTGGTTTAAGCGAGCTTGACTAAGTTGATGAGATACTGAATGCCAAAACTGGTTCCAAAATGTTGCGTGTATTAAACCAATGCTGCTGAAAATATATACACACTCCCAAAAGGCCGTACGGCTGATGACATGCGTGTAAAAAGGGACACTTTTAATTTATTTTTCATGTGGCGAGACGAATATGGGAAGGAGGTGTAATTGTCTACTTATTTGTTTTCTGCTTACATGTGTTGTATGTCACAGACCATTTGCTGGAGATATTATTCATTAACGTAAATAATTCATGAACAATTCTTGATGTATATTTCATTGTGGATGCATTTAATGTCATACCACGAAAGGTTAATTTATAGGCTATCGATTTTGCCTCCAAACATGAGTTCATCCAAGTCATTTACCCCGGTCACCCTCGCAATGTTTCACGTGCCTCAATGGGTTTATGTTAAATAAAGTTTTCCGACTAAATAATGGATACCGACTGAGTGACTTTGTGTTCCAGTATAATTAATTTTGCAGTCTGAAAAATGTTCTTCCATCACCGTCTGGCCCTACCTCTGCCCCTGCGTACAATCTCAGCAGCCTACTTGCAAGCACGCATACCCCATTGAGTATTCGCCGCCAAGTGTCGCCCGGTTACGCAAGGAGGGTGGACATGCAGCTCTGTCACACTCTCAGTGCCTGCCTGCCCTGCCCTGCCTGCCTGCCTGCGGCACTCAGTCCCAGTCATGTTCAGCCTCTCCCCATATCTCTTACCGAGGATTGTCCAGTGGTGGTCTCAAGACTGCTCCATTCAAGGCATACGGATACCCCATTAAGTTGCCACATCCGATCACTGGAGAAACCTCATGCGGGATGTTTACACTTGAGAACACGTGGAGGATCTGTTGCAGGGATCGCTGGCGGTGTACACGTGGGTGAGGATGCCCTTTCTTGACTCAATGTCAACATGATCTTGTTCTCCATCGTGAATACCTGGCGAGAAGTCCCCTTCTTTCTCTATCGTGTCCGATCCTTTCCTCTCTTCTCTCCCAGATTTGCTTTGCTTACCTCGTTATTTTCCGAACTCAATACATAAGCAATGTCTCTTTCACACATCCGTCTCGCCACGTAAAAGAGAAAATTAATCTGAAGTTTTTCATCAGCTGCACGACCTTCCGTGAGTGCATATATCATTCAAGCATCATTGTTTCAATACAGGCAAAAACCCTCAACTGGTTTCGACTTGACTTTGCTAGATCACGCCTGAGAAACACAAAGGTTTTAACTCACTGACACAAACATGCATCGTTGCTGTACTTCTCCGGTTCTGTATCGCTTTGTTACCGCAGAGCGTAAATAAAAAATAAAATTAAAATTTAAAGCGGGATGTAACGTGCGCTCGGCTGTGTGTGCAAGCGTGCGTGAACATGCACGTTTATGCT